GCAAAGTCTGACATCGGCCAGTGGGTTTATTCATTAGGCCCATGGTGCACATGCCGGTTACGTAGCGTGCCATCTCGAACTATCGGGAGTACGCACACCTACCCGATAATTCACGAATTCGCTTTCAATATGGTGGTATTTGATACTCAGTAAAGTTGTTCTTGGTGTTTTATGAAGATTGGTATTCATGACTGGTTGAAATTGACCATCGTTACGCTTTCAGTCGTAAGGAGATCTACTGGTCAGCTTTGTCGTCCAAATTCATATTCGGCTGTGGTCAATCAAATTGGCAAGGAGCACATAAAAAGCGTACTAGGTACTGCTCTCTTTGTTCACATGGTCTTTTGAATTTGACATTGCAGTAGAATAACATGATCCACGAAACTTTCAGATCACCCTCTCCCTTTCATATGTCGTCGTGCTATTCGTCGCGATCGTTTCCACATTACTCTTAACGGTCAAATCACTGTTTCCATTGTACCCAGTACGGGAAGGATGTGTAAGTTAATCCGCGCAATTACGATTGCTTTCATTCAATTACTATATGCTGTATTGAATATTCATAAATGCACTATTAGGGGGCTCAGGCGTATTCAACCTTTGAATTCTCCAGCCGTGAGAAAATTTCCTCCTCACGTTTGCTTACCATAACGCAGTTTTTATTTATATTTGTTTGAAGTGTGTTCCAATTTTCAAATTACTGTCAGAAATTTCTTATTTACCTCAACTGTGGCTTTCGATGATGCTTTGAAGACGAAGTTTATCGGTATTGTTCTAGACATCCAAGAGCGTGGATTTCGTACAAGGCGAGCTGGAAGTGTTGGAGTTGGCGGCGTCAGTTCGAAATCTGACCGTGACAAAGCCAAGCAAGTCGAGTCAAAGTTTGCTATTGTAGCTTTATATCAAATTTAACTTTTAGATGGAGCATTTTTACTGACATGCTCGGTGTAACAAAGAAGAACAAAGAAGATACGGTTGATGGGTGGAATCAATACGACACTGATCTAAAGAAGTTGCCCGAGGCGCAACAGAAAACTTACACTGTGGGTTGCAGCATAATTGATTAATTGATCTTAAACGCATTTAAGCTTTCATTTCCATTGGCGTTTACTATTTCATCACGTCTTTGCAAGAGTTCCCAGGTATCTGGTTATTTCATGTAAGATAAGTGTTGCGCGACCTGAAGAACTCATATAAGTTGTGATTATGATTACTATTTGTATATTCGAATTCATTTATCATATGTTAAATGTGCTTCATGTTAAGGACGGGTTCGTAAAAGGTCTTCTGGCGTCCCCCCCCCCCCCCCCCCGCCCACCAAAGTCACAAGAATTCTACGCCGCCGAAAAAATCGAATACACTTACTCGTTTTTACATATTTTTGGCAGCATGTATATTTCTTGGATACTTGAGTGGCGGTTCGTTTCTTTTCCATTGCACGAATTCAGCTTTGTCAATATCTGCACGGTTATGTTTTTTTTTTCCGGTTTTTGTTTGCTTTTTGAAACTTATTTTTTTTATTACAAATATAATCGTTGTTTCCAATTTCTTCATGTAGCTAAAGCTTGCTCTAGCTATTCGTGTTCGAATAGGCGATCGCCAGTTTGGTTCGCTGTTCTTCACCAACACTCAGGAGGTAAAACCAGAAGATGGATTTTCTTTCCCCAATCGTTACCTTCGACGATGTTCGAGGAGTGAGTCCATTAAAGTTTCTTTCATCGAAACGCAAATATTTGAATTGGGTCTTTTCTCCTTGTCCGTCAGCGGGCAGAAGTTTTTAATAGGCTTTTCTGACAAAATTTGAGTGTGAGATGTGCACAAATGAGTGATGAACAGTCAACTTTCTGCTCAAGTAGAACTTCTGTTCAGGCCTGACATACTAGAGCTAGGTAGCTATAAGCTTCCAAAAACTCATTCATATGTGCTATTTGAATTGTGTTAGTGAAGTGAATGTTCAGATGGATGAAGCAAAGCAAGAGGTTGAAGAAATTGTGGATTATCTCCGTGATCCTGAGAAGTACTCTCGTCTTGGCGGTCGTCTTCCCAAGGGTGTACTGTTAGTGGGACCTCCTGGAACCGGCAAAACGCTTCTAGCGAGAGCCATTGCTGGCGAAGCACAGGTGAATTAATATTTTCATAACCTTTTAGTATTGTGTCTTTTCGAAACCTCATCGCTGAAATGAACTTTTGATGCCTTGGTAATTTGATATTAATAGCCATTCAATGAAACCTACTTTCTGTTATCTTTTGCTTTCAGGTACCTTTCTTCCACACGTCGGGATCAGAATTTGACGAAGTTAGTCGGTCAAGGGGCTCGTAGAGTGCGTGATCTGTTTGACAAGGCCAAGTCTAGGTTAGATTTTACGTGCATATTCCATTAGTTGTTTGTTTCTGCAATTTGTTTCTCTATGGTTTCCGCTTTTTTTTATACAGAGCTCCATGCATAATCTTCATCGATGAGATTGACAGCGTCGGTTCAAAGCGAGTCTCCAACAGTATACACCCCTATGCAAATCAGACGATTAACCAGTTGTTAAGGTTTGTAACCTGTCATCCAGTTTTCTTATTACGTTCTAGATTCTACTTTTTGATATTTTGGTGACAAGTTATAGCAACTCTGCAACTTAACTGTTCAGTTGAACTGTTTAGTTGCAGAGCCGATTTTTAGTAGAAGACTACTTCTCAATGGTTTTGTTTCATGGAAAAATTGCTGCTGAAAACTGGCTATTGTTCTAGAGTAGAGAGAATTTGATCCAGCGTTTGATTATTTTTAGCGAAATGGATGGATTCAACAGAAACGAAGGGTGTAATAGTGATTGCAGCGACAAATCGCGTGGATGATTTAGACAAGGTATTGCGATTCCAGTGTGGTCGGCGCTTAGATGGGCTGCACTTGTTGCTTTTAGGCTCTTCTTCGTCCAGGACGTTTCGACGTACGAGTAACAGTCCCGAAGCCAGATCTGGCTGGTCGAATCGACATTTTTAACTTTTACCTTGGGAAGATAGTGCACTCTCCGCTTGTCGATCCTAAGACATTAGCAAAGGTATTTTATATGAAAGCGTAGAAGATTCTCAATTATGATTTCACTTAGCCGCTAACCGACTTCCTCACTTTAGGGCTCTACCGGTTTCACTGGTGCTGACATAGAAAACATGGTCAATCAAGCGGCATTAAAGGCTGCCACTGAATCAGCTCCAGAGGTCACAATGGCCCATCTTGACGAAGCGAGGGATAGGTAAGACTTTGTAAGAGATCTTCGTAATTTAGGCTTTCACAGCAGTCTTTGAATTTTAGAGTACTCATGGGCCCAGCTCGTACTGGTGGACGGATACCAGATGAGGAGGCAAATAGAAATACTGCATATCATGAAGCTGGGCATACCTTAGTTTCTCTCTACACAAAACATGCGACTCCTCTACACAAGGTATGAACAGCGCGGCTATTTCACTCGGCAGTTCTGAACACTGGGAAAATTTTGATGTTGTTAAGGTCACTATCATACCGCGTGGCCAATCGCTTGGTCATACTGCTATGTTACCCGAAAAAGACGAATATCAGATGACGAAGGGCCAAATACTCGCCGCTTTAGACGTCATGATGGGAGGAAGAGTGGCGGAGGAACTCATCTTTGGTGATGATATGGTAAGAGTTAAATGTTACCGGTTGGGTTACTCGTTGGGGTGTATCACTGTCAAGGAATTTTTTCTCATGAGGTTTGCGACTACTCTTTCAGGTTACGACTGGTGCTGCTGATGATTTGAAGAAAGCATCGCAGTTGGCTGTGCAAATGGTGAAAGCCTTTGGATGAGGCGGAAAGGTAAGAATTTTTTCAAGTTGCAGCCATCTGTCAGGAATTCCCGCAACATTTTCTCGGCTCGCCTTTCAGGTGATCATGAGATCATCTTCATTATTTTATCTTCAGGTTGGGCTACGAGATTTCACTGCTGAGGATTCGTCTACGTCAGCTTTGATCAAAATGAGTGATTTGAGTCCTCACACAGCAGAGGCTATCGATAGAGAAATCAACCAAGTTTTAGCAGACAGCTATCAACGAGCAAAGGAGATCCTTGTTAAGCATCGGTATGTCCAGGTTTCCCAGTTCCAGTCACTATTTTTTTACATATTTTTTTGATATAGAAGAAGGTTCGAAAATATGGGTCGATGGACTAATTGAACTTGGTCTTTTGAACCGCTCCAATTTCGCGCTCCCGCCTGCGCCCTCTCGTTTAAGCAGTGGCTTATGATTACTGTAATCTCACATATTGAAATGATGCCACACTGTACTTGGCTCTCACTCACCCCAGAGTTCTCCTCCCTCTAAGGTTAGTCTGAGGGCCACCACTTTCCACCTAAGGATTTGGAGCCGAGCAGGCGCCGTTCTCTAATGGTCTGTGCTTTAGCCATTGGTGGCAGGACCATAGAAGAAAGTTCAAAAGTAATCCATAAACCGAAAATCTATGTCATCGTAATCCGACAACTGGTAAAATGATGAGCAGTGGTACATGGAAATAGTTCCAAAATGAAACATCAATCAATAAGGCAATCCCACTTTGTAACCTCTACGGTTAACTTTTTGCTTGCAGAAGGAACATCAGCTCTTGGCTGAAGCGCTACTGGAATACGAAACATTATCAGCGGAGGAGGTCAGGCAAGTTATATCGGGAAAGAAGATAAAGGTGAATCTTTAAATATGTGGGTTTTAAGTATTTGTTTATGGTGCAATCCTTATTTCGCTAGTCAAACAATGCTCGGGCTATTTAGCGTCCAACTCCAGCGGATGTGCGAAAGAGCAATGAGAAGCTTCTTCCTCATAATCCGTTGGTTCGTATCCATATATTTGAAGAGGGAAGGAAATGAGCCTGTCTACCTCTACTGGTGTTTTCCTGTGTAGTCTTTGGGCCCCGTTTTCGTCTTCCATATTTCCTCGTTTGACGATTTTAACAATTCGTCACGTGTTTCTGCTAACTTTGTCTCATATTAGTGTGCAGATTATTTATACCGACGTGTAGACTACGACCTTAGCTTCTCTCGATTTTTTCCTAGAGTTCTCTATCCTAGACTTAAAAATTATTGAGTCTGTAGCGCTGCGTCATGGCCTCGAAAACTGGTACTATTAGTTGTTGTAGCTCGATACTCTTGGTTAGTTCAATCAGGGTTTGGCCTGGGTGCTCGTTGGTTGTTAACCGTTCGCCTTCTAGCGGTATGGAACTAGCAGAAGTTATATTGGGCTGGGATGATAGAGGTTGGAGATGCTTACTTTATGATCCGCTAATAATACTAACAGAATTTCCAACTCGGAACTCTAGTAAGCCTAGCTGATGTAATTTTTGTGGTTTTTTGATGCTATGATGGCGGTTGCGTTTCCAACTTTTCCAAGATGATTGACAGTCGTACATCGAATGAAATTCCTCCGACTCTAGCTTTTCGATCATTTTTCATAATTACATAATATCCTTGGCAATTCATCTGTGATTCATCCAAACTAAACGCTTTCCACACCCTTAGTTTGACTTAGTGCTGTAGTGCTGCTCTTGATGACTGATATTCGATCGACATTACCATTGATGTACTGGAATCAAGATTGGTTTATTAAAAGTTGATAATAAAGAAATATTCGCTGGATGCCATGAAAACAATGTTGTGTCTGCAATTTTACAGGAATGAGGTTACTCAGAGGTTACGAGATATTCGGTTAGGTGGGAAATGATTTCACATTATCTTGGGTATTTATTTTTCTTTGAGGTGCGCCATGCAATCTACCTCATTTAGAATCCTAGCGACATTTCGAATGCGATTTGGTCTATACAATGATTTGGCCGGTAGAATCCATGTTTTCATCCTCTCAAACAGGTCTAGTGCCAATTAACCGATCACGAAGGGGTGGATAGGCTTGGATGGCGTATAATCGAGTTGTGCGCGTGGTAAGCAGAACCACCTGGCACTACATCACTTCTTCCCCTACTCTCGGTATTGCCAAACGGAACAGTGGTGAGAGAACATATGAGAAGGAGTTAGAGCTGTCGTTTCAGAAAATCAGGGCACTGATTTCAGCCCAGCTCTTCCACGTTGTTGATTTGTACTCATCCTAAATAGGTGACCCAATATTAAAGTGAGGTTGGTTTCTCTTAGATGAGTTAACTCGTTCAGAATTTTCTGATTAGTGCCTGAAGTCCCAGAATTGGTATGTAATTTGGTTTGAAGGTTAAACAAGACCTGCGTTGAGAAACGATAGTGAGGAGAAAAAGCAAAAAGCACCATAGATAGCGCTGTCAATTATGAGGTCGGTCCTAGTGTGATGGAGACGCAGTGCTGCGAGGATAGAGCTAAAGCGAGAGAGCAAGCCATACGCTAAAGGGCGTAGACGCTACAAATTGCGATGGCAATGGTCGATTGAGTGCGTAAGTTCCATTGTCGCAAACTTCCAAGTCACACCATTGATCTCGTGATCAGGGATCACGCTACCGCTCAAGGAAAGAACTTCTCCAAGGATCTAACCGGTGCCTTTGAATTGGCTGTTTAATTAAATATTTATTGATTTGTTGCGCTCAAACGGCGCGCTGCTACAGTATCAAGTCATCAACCAGGAATGGGGGTGGGCACCCATCACATAAATAGACAGAAAAGCAACACAAACAATAAACTGAAACAGGGGTAGAACCTGGGCTTATTCAGGGTGCCCCTCTGTGGTGCTAGACACAGCTGAGCTTGCAAAAATCAAGAGAAGATTTTCTCCACAGGGCTTGAGGAAAAAGATAATAAAATATGAAAAAACTGGGAAATCAGGAACCAAAATAGATGGTACTTAGAAGAGCAGGAAGTATGAAGAGGTAAGTAAGAGGCCAGGTCAAGTGGTTCCATACAGTTCAGAGATCATAGAAAGAACGTGTAGTATAGTCAGCGACATTGGCATCTTTCGCGGCTGAACGACAATTTAACCGAATGCAGCATTCCACTTCTAAGTCCAGATAAGGACAAGACGAGTACGATGAAAGAAGTAGTATTCACAACCTACGACCCGTGCTGCAGATGCCTCATACGGCTATGCTACCGTTCGCCACGTATGTGATAGAAGCTTGTCAAGCCTTCGAAACAGGGTCAACCGTCCGTTGGACAAAGTCCAACGCGACGACGAGAGTAATGCCGAGAGTGAACGTACGCACGGAGACACAGACGGCTCGCGGGTGGCGAGAGTGAATGCCGGCGCGGAGAGCGGTGAACATCGGTCCAACGTCGCTCCAATATCGGTCCAACGTAACGGTTGACCCTGCTCGAAACATGCGTATTGTAACTTCGTATAGCATACAAACTGTCGTGAACCGCGGCTAAGTGAGGTAACACAGCTAGACAATCTGATGAAACACCCCGGAAATGCCTCCTTACTTGTTGTAGGATTGGATGGAAAAAGTAAACAATAGTTTCAAATGCACTTACTCCTCGGAACCACATACCATACTGCAGGTACTTCAAATGCTAGATTTCAATGGGCGACTTAGATGAGAAGCCGACATACAGAGAGAACATACAATAACCAGAAGGTTTGCACATTCATGGAACTTTGAGTTTGCCTTTCCAGATATAATTCGATAAGCTTCAAAACGCTGATTACAATATGAAACTGCACAAAGTAGAACGCAGCAAGGAGCTGTGACAGTCAATTGCTGAAGTAAACGTTACGTATCAGACCGTGATTTAGGCTTACGACTCTCGAATATCGTATCAGAGTGAAGTAGTAACTCTCACATCTTTAATACGGCGAGTCATAAGTCTCTTCCCTTGATGCAACTTTCGACGAGCACTACCATTACTCACACGAATTTGAAAGTACCGTAATCACACTATTCATTGTAGCGCTTTAATTGAGCACAACTTAGAGTCTGCACATTTTCCTTTGCAAATTTATTTGCAGTTTTGGCTCCATGTTTGCAATCATCGTTCTGAAGTTCTAATCGATATAAGCAGTGCACGCATAATTATAGATTCCACCTACAAATTTTCCCAAAAACTTGAATCTGGGGATGTTTTTGGAAAAGGCTCTACAGATAAATTGTGACACATATAAACGCGAATCTGAATATTAACACGGAAATCCAGTTTGAGAAAGCAACAATTTTTATATCCTTATTTTTCGAAAATATCCGCTTTAGCTTCTCCGCTGCATTTTGCTTTTACCCAATCAAAATTTGGAATTATTATCCATTCAAGTTCCTTAGCTTATAGCAAAGGCAAAACCGCTGTCACACTTCCGTAAAGGGAAATCCTAGCAAAAGAGACGCAGGAATTGTCAAAGTGTCAGCTCCGCTGGAATTTGTCGGGGTGACTTCATAACGAACAAATTTCTCAAGGATGCTACAGGATATGACTGGGAGGAACCCTGATTACTATCCGACTGAGATAAGCGCCGTATCGTGAGAAAATGATATCCAGCCGGGTACTGAAATTGTAGGTGGAACTATAATTATGCGTCGCAGTGTATCTGGGTATTAATGCGAAATTCCATGGAAAGTTGAATGCCTTCCCTGGTAAGTGAGCAGATAGTGCTACAGTTTCACAAACGCCAGAAGCTGTTCGTTGGTTTTACACTACTATAGGAGCGCTGTCAACAATTATGTTGTCTTGTTGACGTTGATGTCCTTGTAACCTCGAGACACTGAAGTAGCGGTGCATCGGAAAGAGAAGGTAGATCGGGAGTAGTTGTTGGCCTGATTGCATCCATATGTCAAAATAAAACCATATATCGAATCGCGGCATGATGTAGCTATACATCGCAAGGAGAAGGTAGATTGAGAGCAGTCGTTGGCTTGACGGCACCCATATGTCAGAATAAAACCATATATTGAATCGCGGCATGTCGTAGGTATACTGGACTAGAGTCACCTAGATATCCGCAATATCGAGAGTTGACAGTAGGTCAATCTTGCTAAGCCTTCTTTTGAAAACAGAAACATTATTCGCTTCCATAATGTTAAGTGGAAGCATTTGCAACCACTTAGCCCCCGAAAGAAAAGAGAGTTAAGGGTCTGGGCTTGGAAATACCTGCAGATACGTACACATTGTAGAGAGAGCCACCTTACACGACCTCTGCAGGGCTTGAACCCCAATACTTGCTGGGCTTAATCTTGAGTACGCCTTTCAATACTTTGAAACAGAAAACTAAATCGTTGAAAACTCGTCTGTAGAGGAGGGTTTTCAATTGAAGATTTTCAGCCTCTCACTGTAGCTGGGTAGGTGATGCAGCTGCAGAGTATCTCCAGTGCGATCCCCTGGCCCTCTGTCCCTAGGGGATACATTTCTCAAAAAAGAATTTATGTGAATGTCTGCTGCACTTTTTCGAGTTGCAGTTGAAGTTTACGTGTACTAGGGCTCCAACTGGAGAGCCATATTCTAGGACAGGTATGACATAAGCTTTATATAATTTGAGCAGTATTGTGCTATCATGGCACCGCTTATTTCTGCAAATCGCAAAAAGTACAGAAAAGTTTTATATGTGGTTCTAAAGTCAAATCACGATTTAGGAAAACTTCAAGATCCCGCACCTCCTATGTGGTGCTGAGGACATAGTTTTCAAACGAATACTTCATGTATTCCGCTCTGCCAATATGCAGAACCGAGGTGCTTTTTGAGGAGAATCTCCTCCACATGTTAGCATTCCAAGCCTTAAGGCCCATCAGTTTGAAATGACTGAGAAAAGGGCCCCCCGGAGACGCATCGGTGGGTTTCAGGTGCTGCATAGACTTACCGCTAGGTTATTTTGATGTCAATCGGGGCGATACGATTTGCGCGGCGCTTTCAGACCGGAAAGATCTGAGCTGCTCAGGTAAATGCGATACGTAACACCAGAAAAGGAGTGGCGAAGAAAT